TCACACTGAAGCAGCTGCGGCCAGCCTGCAGTGCTGGCTTTAACCTGTGTGCCAACTGAGAGGGCCCATGTCCTTATTTAGATATAAGGTCTTTCCAACAGTAATCAAGTTAAAAGGAGGTCACAAGGGTCGGCACTAATCCAATATGACTGGTGTCTTTCTAAAAAAGGGAAATTCAGACACACAGGCACACAGATGGAATGCTGTGTGAAGATAAAGGCGAAGACCTACAGTCAAGGAACACTGTTGACTGTCAGCAAAACACCAGCAGCTAGGAAAGAGAAGTAGAAAAGAACTTCCTCACTGAACCAATCCCTCTGGCATTTTGGTCTTGGACTTCCAGCCTCTGAACTATGAGATGATATATTTCTCTTGGTTGAGCCTACAGGCTGTGGTACTCTGTTACAGCAGTGTTAGGAAACTAGTACAGATTGTAAGTCAAACCGACAGCTTCCTTTAGGCACACTAAGGCTCTGCCTGTTTGATTCTGAATTATAATTTGAAGCAGTTCACCAATTCTCCATAGCCATCTTCAAAGGTGTTCAGTTGGCCTCTTGAGACACTGTTCTCAGGTTACTACTAAGCTGGCAACCTAGTTGAGGGTATTAGAAACCACACAGCTTGCCAGCAAATATCAAGTCAAAGACAAACAAAACGCTCTCAAGAGGTATCACTCAACAGGAATTGTTTGCCCTGAGAAAACTTGCAAGTCACTGAAGTGCAAAGACCCAGAATTAAACAAATTTCTGCTTAGCCATCCTGTGACAAAGATAATTATGAAGAAGAAAAGCATCTGTACTTCTTCCTTATCTTTGGAGGTTTTAAGATACAGTTCAGAATGCTAACTCCTACAACAAAGAAAATCATTCATAAACACAAAGGGCAATTAACAAAGAACCTAAAGACAAGGTTCTAGTCCCAGTTCCACCCTGGAGGACACACAACCCTTTCCCTCTCTGGATCTCAGTTTCCACACCTGAGAAATGAGGAAGTTTAACTAGATAATCTTCAAGAGGCCATTCTACCATAACATCTGAAGACATTTTCAATTGCTCTCTGGTCTCCTTGCTACAAACATCCAACTACAGTCATGGACAACAGGTGATGAGTCCATCAATGTTAGCCCACCAAGCCCTGTATTATAGAGCTTGTTGTTGGTGGTGCCATCTAGGTTCATATAAGTATATTCTAGAATGTTCACACAATGACAAAGCCATCCAACAAAACCTCTCTCAGAAGATATCCCTGTCATTCACACATGCCCATATTCACTGAAGAGTAGTAATCATCTATTACCCTTAGGACCACCACATGGAAGCATTCAGACTGTGTATTAAACAAATCCAGAAGGCACCGCTCACACTTTGCTTCCAAACCCTTGCCTGTCACCAGCAGCTCTTGCCACCTTTCCTGCTGTATCTGTAGCTTTTTTTTTTTTTTCCCAATGAGTCATGCACTGCATTCCTAAAAAGGATTGACGTGAGAATTGTGGTCAAGCAGGGGGTGAAGTAGAAGAACAGATCCTGTCTTCTGACTCAATACCTGGAAAGAACTAGATGGCATACTGACAAGCGATTGTCTAAGGTTCCAATCCAGACCAGGCCTTTGTAATCAAATCACTATGCATATTATCACAGGGGGCAGGAAGCTGAGAGCCAAATAAAATTTAAAGCATGAGTTATTTCCCAAGTATAGCTCAGATTTTCTGCTCCATAACCCTTGGATGCAAGATGTAATATTTTTCTCTATTTTCCTCCACCAAATTACCTGTGGGCCAGAAGTCTTACTTAGAAGGTGGGGAAAATAAACTCTGATCTTCAGTCTCTCAGAGTTGAAACTAAGATTCTCGTTAACTGAGACCCTATGGGCCACTGAAAGATGAACAATCACAGCGTCCATTCCCTCCATGCCAGGTCCAGTCAGGGGACCTTTCCCCACAGCCAAGACTCCCATGATGCTTAGGGTTTAGACCCCAGGGCTCCAGGAACCATTCCCAACCAGAGTGCTGACCCTGCTGGAGTAGCCAATCATGCCCACCATAGCCATCATGGCGAATTCTCTGGGGTCCCTGCTTCTTTGTGGCTCCACCACTGCCATCTAAGTCTGGAAAAGGAGGGTGTGGCTGGTGAAGCCTAGATGACAGGTTCACACACCTTAGCTGCAAGGGAAACTGGGAAAACAAGTACTGGGCCTATAGCATCTATAGTGAGAGGTGGGCTCTGCCCCTCGGTGAGACACATAGAGTGGGGGCACTGCCCACCCCAAGCAGGACATGGGCAGGAAAAAGAAAGGCCAATGGTTACACAGCTGTCACCTGAGGACCTTAGGGAAACTCTCCTTTCTTAGCCTCAGCTTCCTCAGTTGAAAAGAAGAATAATACCTGCTTCACAGAGTAGAAAGCCCAGAAGACAAAGGCAACCCAGGCAACCCAGGCCATACAGCCTCCTGGATTTGCGTGTGGGGAATGGGGGAGGGGAGATAGAGTTCCAGTGTAACAGAAGGAGGGTGGAGCAGGGAACCTGGAACCTCCCCTTTTCCTGGGGACCACCCTGTTACACCAGGAGAGGGTGAGAGGCTTGTAAGGTGCAGGACCCAAGGTGTCAGGTGTTGATCGGTAAGGCAGGAGCCAAGGCTGAGCTGCCCATTGAAAGTGGGAATGATCCAGAGAGATCCCTTTCCAGCTGTTACCACTAAGCAAAGAGGGTTCTAGAAAGAGGAAGATTTAAAGAAAAGAAAAAGAAAACAAGATGCTCTGCAGTGGGACTCTGTCTACACAGAGCCAGGAGGGAGTGAAGTCAAACACTGGGCAGTCCCAAAACAGAGGTCATCTTGCCCTCAATCAGGATTGGGTAACCACTTCCACTTCTCACAGAGACTCCAGGTCACCTGATCCCCCCTCACACCAGCAGGCTGCACATCACACAGTTGCACATACCACAGCAGTGAAAACCAATGATTGAAACTGCGTCTCTGCTCTTTATGAAGGTCTCTCCTTGTGAAAAAAAAAATCTGACATGATTTCTCCCATACCTGTGACTTCTCTTATATTACAAACATGGAAATAAAACACAATTATGAAATACAGTTCCAAAAAGAATATTAACTAATTTGTTGTATCTTTATCTCTATAACAGTATGGGATTAAAAATAGCAATAATAATAATGATAAATATAATAAGACTATGACTATGAGGGTGTGAACCACCCTCATAATTCTATGTCACAATATATTTATCATCAGTATTAGAACATTTGTTTATACACTTACATATATGTACATAGACATGCATGTATGTATATATTAAACTCTAAGCTTTTTTCTAAGATTGATTTATTTATGCATACAGAACTGGGGTACAGCCCAGGGGTGCAGGAGCAGTAAGAGAATTCACCCGAGACAGAGTGGGGAGCAGAACAGGCAGATCAATGAAGTACACCTCTGAGGGGAGCAGCAGGCAGGTCAGGAGAGATTTGCTGTGCCATGTGGGTGAGCTCCCTTGCCAGGGATGTGTTACAGGGCAGTCCACCCTGCTATGGGTGGGGCAGGGAACCCAGAACTTCCCCTTTTCCTGGGACCCTACCCCCCACCCAAGGCGGCTGCTAAGGCCTGCTTGCTAAGGCCACTGTGGCTAACTTCCTAGTGCTGCCCTTCAATTCGATGTGCTACCAGGGAAGGTCCTAAACTAGAAGTTTTACTAATAATTTTACTTTCATTGACTTGCACACATACAATGAGTTTATTTTAAGGCATATAAATCGTAACTCAATGAAACTGTTTTTAAAAACCATCCTACACAACATCTGAAAGCAAAGTACAAACTAGTAGGGTATATTTGCCATGAAAATACATGGAATAGTGGTATCCTTACTATACAAAGAACACATCAAAATCCTGAGAAAAACATTTATATCGCAGTGGTAAAATGGACAGAAGAAATAGAAATGGTCAGTAAACATGAAAAAGTTCTTCATCTTCACTATTATCACCTCCGTCCCAGACCAAGGCAGAATTAGGAATTAAGATCTCCCTCTGTCTTTTCGTGTCACCTAAAGTGACTTCTATTATGTCTTCTTGTTACTGGCTGGCAATGTCGATAACTATGTCACTGAATTGGGGTTTCTGGAGCAGGACCCCAGATATGGAGTGAAGGATAGTGGAATGTTTGTGGGACTGTGTCTTCAACTTTTCTGAATTTGAAGTTCCAGTTCTGTAAAAATTTCTAACAATCGCACATAAACAAAACGCTTTGGGGTTTTCCCTAAACTGTAAGTGTGCAGGGGTTCCGAGACCAACACGTTGGAGAACCACCGCAGCACAGGAACCGTTACAAGCCCAAGGAAGTCCTTAGCCATTGGCCACCCCGTAGACGACAGGAGACTAAAGATGTGAAGGTTGCAACAAAACCAGAAAAGCTGGGGACAGGCATAATCAGAATAGAGCGTGGAGAGGATGGGGGACTTGACAGCGCAGTGGGCCGCGGGGCAAAGACGCTCAGAGTGCGCCCGGAAACACAGAACGCCCCTCTAAGCACGGCCACGTCTTCCCTTTCACACTCAATCTGAGAGGCTGTACATTCCTTTTCGGCTACTCAGTGATCTAATAAAAGCCAGAGCTTGAACTGGGCAGGAAGTCGCTGGGCGGATTCTCCAAATTATTTTCAAAATTTCGTCCAGCTAGTAAAAACTGTAAAGTTAGGAGTCTGGGTTAAAACATCCGTTTCCTGCCTTAAAGTGGTGGGGGAGAACGGGGCAGGGCAAAAAAAGAGCGGGAAAATAAAGCTCTGAAGAAAGAAAGAACGGGCTGGGGGAGGGGAGGAGGCAACGCGAGAAGCCAATGAATGGGAGCGAGGACGCGGCACGTACCCCTGCCGCCCGCGTGCGCAGGCGCACGCCCGGTATTCTCGCGGGAAAGAACCGTTGCCCGCCCCGGCGCTGCGCCCAGGTTGGGGGCGGGGGTGGAGGCGGGAGTGAAGTATCGCGAGAAGAGTCGGTTGCCGTAGCGGAGCCCTCTGGCTGTGCGCGTCTGAGGAGCCGCAGCCCGAGTCGCGGACGGTTTGCTGAGCCCGTTAGTACTCTCCCGAGACTCACGCCGCCGTCATGTCCCGCTACCTGCGACCCCCCAACACGTCTCTGTTCGTGAGGAACGTGGCCGACGACACCAGGTACGCCTGAGGCAGGTCCTCCGGGCCTACGCGGAGGCCGCAGGCGCTCGGAGAGGACCGGAGCGCGGTGGCGGCGGCGGCGGCTGGGCCGGGGGAGGGGAGAGGAAGGGGCGAAGATGGCGGGTCCCGGCTCCGCTTTCGGGCCCGAGCTAGGCCACGCCGCCGGCTCAACTGCCGCGCGGGAACTGGGGTGGCAACCCTTGGCCCTCCCCGACTGTGTCGGCCGCGTGGCGGGTTTTCTGTCCCCCCTCCCCCGCAGGTCGGGGCCCGTTTCTCCCCACTTCCTCGCACCCCCCCCCATTGATTTGGAGTTCACGTTCTTTGGGGTGCACGCCCCCTCTGCCCGGAGGCTTTTGTTTTTAACTAAAAAAAATTTTTGCCTCGAAATAACGGGATCGGGGGAGGGGATGTTTGCTGCCTTTTGTTTTATATTTGTGGTTTTATTTAATGGTGGTGAGGTTTGGAGAAAGGGAATGCCGAAATTTGGGAAATCAGATTATTCCATTTGAACGGTACGAAGTAGTTCTTCCCGTTCCTGGTAAAGGATTTGGGAAGCCTCTACCTTTCGGATACGGATCGCCAAGTTAGGTTAATCCAGAACGTGCCTTTGTTCTCACCAATTCCCTTAATTGCTTTGAGTCGCCAGCAGAATTTTTGGGAAGGGATCTTACTACAAGATGAGACTTTGTCTTTCACAAATAATCCAAAAAGAAGCCAAATTATTTTGGGCAGCCTAGTATGATTTAAATTCTTCTGTCCTCAGTAGGAAAACAAGTACAAGTGATAATGCGTCTAGAAAAATTTTCCCTTTGTATCATTTTTGGCCTTTAAGGCGACTTCATGAAACCTTATTTACCTGATGCTAGGTGTTAACCCTGTTAATTCAATTTGAGGGTAAAAATAAGTGCTTGATAGCTTCAGATTTGACACACTAAAAGAAAAGCATTAGCAATACTTCTATTCTAATGGTGTTATAACTTTCATAAGAAAAAGAATGATAAAAATAATAGAGATAATTGTGAGATAATAATAGGCTTTATTACAAACTTTATCTTCCAAACTGGTGAATCCTAGCTTCCTTAATCAAATACGTTCGTTGCCTGTACATTTTTTTTTGCACATTAAACTTGGCTCTTATAAACAATGGGGTTTAAGAGCTTGTGTCTTAGGCCACAGAGTCGGCACACAGTCCCTTTTACTAACAGAACTGATACAGAAAGAACTTTCTTACAGTGAAATTCATTGAAAGGAGTGAACATAAAAATTTAGGGTCTCTTTATGATGTTTTAGGTCTGAAGATTTACGACGTGAATTTGGTCGTTATGGTCCTATAGTTGATGTGTATGTTCCACTTGATTTCTACACTCGCCGTCCAAGAGGATTTGCTTATGTTCAATATCCTTTCTTCAGATGGCTGATTAGTGAGGGGTGTTGAAGTTTGAAATTCAAGTTTATGTAAGAGGTAACATCTAAAAAGTAGTTTTTGTCCTCTAATAAATGTCTTATGTCTTCAAATTTTTGAAAATTAATTGACTCACACATTGCTCTTAATATTTCTTAAAGTTAATCCAAAAATGGTAAAATATTTAAATTCCCATTCATGCTGCTGAAATTCAAATCAGTGATAATGATAATGTGATTTAAATTTGAATACACTGGTTGCTACCACCTTTAATGTAAGTCAAATTAAAAATTAATATGTTCTTGTGCTTAGCAATTAAAATTTGGTATTGTTTGTTATTTTGAATCACTTGATCAAAAACAAATTGTATAACAATGAGGTAAACTTCTTTAATATTGTCCCCTAATTTGCTGTCCTCTGTTGTTACCTCAGAGAATGTAAAGCTGTACAGTTATGGCGACCCCAAAGAGAAAGCATGAAAGAACCTTTAGAGTAGAGTTCAACACTTAAGGCAAGTAGACAAGCCAAAGACCTCTTAAGGATCAGGCTTGAAGAGAAGGGAGAGTTTGGGAAAAGAAAAAATAAAGAAAAGCTGGAAGAAGGACAAGCCTAATGGGAGACAAAGCCTCGCTTTATCTACAAAAGGGGGAAAAGGTTGTTTTTCAAAGTTAAAGATAAAGCCAGCTGTCATATTTGGCCAAGCATCTCATGACAAGTCCTTCTGACAAGCACTTAAAGAGTTAAAGGTCAAGATGAAGTTGAATGATGGCCAAGATTAAAGGAGTCATACCTGATGTATCCTACAGAATAACTATTTTCTTTCTTTCTTTTTTTTTTAATGTTTTGTAAGCAGTTAACTTTCAAAATTATTCTGGTTTGGTCTAGTGACAAAACCTGTAACTTGATTTATGTGGGCCTTTGATGTTGTGATTGTGGGCTTGTATACATGCTCTCTCTCATAGCTTGTCAAGTTAAAGTATACCAGGATGTATGTTGTTAAGCTTAAATTCAGCATACTTCTGTTTTGGACCAGGTGGTCAGATGCCATAGAGTAGCAGGCAATGCTCTTTGGAATAGCATGGAGTTCTGGGGTCGAACTGACTCCTCAGAACCAGACTTAAAGGGGAAACAGGTGCATGCTCTGGGGACTACTTAGAAATAGTTCTGGTTTGTCTTGTTAGGGTCAGAGCCACTAGGGGTACTACCTGTTTATTGATTGATTTTAAAGTGACTGTTGGGAGCACTTAGACTCCCAACTTCTGATCCTTAGCTCTGAATCCTGCTGGCCTGGCACTACTTTAGTACATAGAATCAGCTGGCTCTGGATGGATTGCAGAAGGCCTTATCCCTGATATGGCTCCCTAAACATGATCTACGGGGAAGCATTCCCTGACCCAGAGTTTCAGGTGACATTACTACCTTTTGGTGAAATCTTACTTTGAAAACTCAGGTTTGGGCTGTGGACTTGAAGCTAGGGAAAAAATCTTAAATTTAATGGACCTCTTGAAACTAGGTGGAGACTTGGTGAGACTTAATGGTAAAGGCCAAAAGTTGCTACTCCTGCAGGGCCAGTGATCAAGGACAGTTGTAGGTATTGGTTGCAAAACTCTGTTACAGAGCAGATAAGAGCTGTATCTGGCTTGGCTTTTTGTCTTTTTTTTTTTTTTTTTAAGTGATGCATTCTGGCTTGCAGTGTTGACCTGATTTTACCCGGCTGTGGAGTAGCCGGGGAACCAGGGTCAGCAGCATTTTGACACAAGACATACGATACTTTGAGCCAGAAAAGAGTTGTCATCTGAAGGAATCCTCAGGAGAACAATACTTTTTTTTTTTTTTTTACACATAGTGATTCTATTGTCTTAAAGAGAAGTAGATAACCAGGGTTTTAGAAAAACCTTGAGTACTAACTGGCGTCAGACTCTGGTATCTGCCCTTGCCGTGATTTATCTCTTCTACCTGACCCAGTTACCAGTTAGCCTCTTTTGACAGGTAATGTAGAAGTTAGCCATGTTTCAGCCCATCCAGGTTTGTGTTTGAGGGTTAGTTAGTTCTAACAGATAACTTTCTCTCGCTCTTGATTTAAATTCTTTTTAAATGTCTGTTCTGTCTCTTGAAGTAATAAAGTAGCATGCCCTTAAAGAGAATTATTCTATTCATTAGAGCCCAGCTGCAATGGAGAAGTTGAAAGGTAACATCACAGCATTCAGGGTTCTAAACTTCTCCCCATAGGGTTCTAAACTTCTCCCCATAGTTTTGCCTTTTCACATTGAAAGCCTCATGCTTTAGGATTTAGAGACTATTTCTACACATAGTAGCCCCAGGAAGCGAGCTGGAAACCTTTTGTGGTCCTTAATTCCATTCAAAACAAAAAGTAGAAATTCTTGGTGAAGTCAACTAACCAACTTCTTGGTTTTGGAATGACAGGTATTATCAGTCTTGAAAGGAGTATGTCTCTTTGAGGGGGTTTGTCTTTATTTATTTATTTATTTATTTTAATCAGTCTTAAGATCTGCACTCTCAAATTAAGAAATAGAAATGGCACGTTGGGATAGTGGGGGGTTGTTGTTGTTTAGGGTAGAATTCTACAGCCACTCTAACCTTGCTCCCTTTCCAAGCTTTTATCTCAAAACATTGAATTTGTACTTGGCCTCTGTTGGGATGATGGTTTTAGGGAAAGAACTAACTTTTAACAGATTATCTTTGTAAAACCAAGAGTTCTCAGGATATGGCTAGCATTGAGGGGGAAAGACAAGACAGCTTAGCTTCTCAGATCAAAAACAGTACCAGCAGTTCCTGCTTACTGATAAATGTGAACCTGAAATCCTCATGTTGAAAACCAGCCCCAAACCCCTCCATTGTAGGAAACTGTATTTTAGTATATTAGAGCGTCCCGGTCTAGGAATCTTTAGAAATGGTCTGTTAATTTCTTACAGCATGCTTTTATAGCTTGTGCATGGATGTAATGTGCTTTGGTATAGGGATGTTTTGAATATTGCTTTATTCTGTCTATCAAGTGGCTAGCATACCATAGTCTTGCCTTTGTGATACAGAGAAGACAGCTACCTGAAGTAATAGTTAGAAGTGTCTAAGAAAACAGCAAAATTAATTTGAGATTAGTTTAAACTTTTATCTCTTGTAAGGTATATTTGGCTTGCTTACACAAGAACTATTGACATTTTCTTATTTTCATTTGAAACAAAAATATGAAAAACAGTTTTGGTTTTATTTTAAGAAATTTTTGGTTTCACATACAACAAAACTGACATTTCTTTTTTGTCTTGTTTTTGGAAAGCTAATTCTTAAAAATTCAAGAAAAATGTTTAATAGGATTCGTGGTAGTTCAGCTATAACCAATCTCATTTCAATAACTTTACAATATATAGTCACATGTTTTCAAATGTATGCCTTAGAAAATCACAAGTGCTTTAGCACTGTGAAGTGTTTATAGCTGACTCAGCTAACTAGTAAGTGGGGTCCGGCTGCTTTTTCTAGAATAATATCAAGAGATTGTGAAGTGCTTCAGACTTACCAGCTGAACTTTCATTCATTATCAAAGTTTGCAAAACTTCCCAAGCCCCTTAACATTTAGCACATTTGAGGATGTTCGTGATGCTGAAGATGCTTTACATAATTTGGACAGAAAATGGATTTGTGGACGCCAAATTGAGATACAGTTTGCACAGGGGGATCGGAAGAGTAAGTACCCTTATGCCTAATATATATGTAAAATGCACTGTTTTTAGACACATTTTGAAATTTCTACTTGGAAATAATTGTGCGTTTTATCTGTTAAAAACACAAAAGGGTCATTTTTGAGAGCATAGAGTACGTTGAATACTTTATATTTTTCAGACATACTAAGGGTTTTCAGGTCAATGTAGGGGTGAGGGTACCTGAAATAAATTGTCTCTTCAGAATATAAATCACTGTATTAACTATGACATATTTATATACTTGAGAGAATTGAAAAGTTTAAAGAGTATTAGGTTTCTTGAGCACTTTTTCTTCCTTATAAAGATCTTCAAGGACTGTAATGGGGTGACTTTGCAAGTGCATGACTGTGGGAATGAACAGATAGAATTAGACTACGAACGGCTGTATAGGTTAGACCTAGAATCAATTTTGTATGAGTACTAGGGGTTATTTTTATTACGCAGGAATATACCTGAATGTGTTATCAGCAGGAGTACAGGTATTAGAAACAAGGCTTATATTTTTAATTTTGGCTCAGTCATGTTATCTTGGGCAGGATAATGAACATGAAAATAATAGAGGACTACTTAGGTACACACCTACTAATAATTCTCTCTCTTGAGTTGGGCAATGGGTTCCTGGATATTCCCTGTTACTTACATATATAATGTACACAAAGTATTTGCTTTGTAGATTTAAGAATTGAGTTCAGGGTAATACGTATGTCTAAGGCATTTAACTATTTTCTCGTGGTCTCAGAACTATATGACTATTATTTCATTTTGACACTACAGAGTGTTCAAGAGCCACCAACAACAGTGATTTGTTGTTTATTATTTTCCTAATGAGTGGAAACCTTGGCAGAGTCTTTCCAAATTTGCATATCATTCATTAAGTCATTCCTGTTTCAATTTGTAGTTTTTAAAATGCTTCTGTGGTGTGCTTTCTTAATATACAGATAGCATACATTTAGACAATAAGCTAGGTGTGAGATGTTTGAGGGAATAAAACACATGTGAGAAAATACAATTTTTAACATTAAACTGTATTCAGATAGACTTCTTTGAAATTACCTTCTTCCAAGATTAATTTTTATAGCCTTAACACAGATTGGGGGGTGTCTAAAGGAAAGGGCTATAATTATGTTTCTATATATTTCATAGCTCCAAATCAGATGAAAGCCAAGGAAGGAAGGAATGTATACAGTTCTTCACGCTATGATGATTATGACAGATATAGGCGGTCTCGAAGCCGAAGTTATGAAAGGAGGAGATCAAGAAGTCGGTCCTTTGATTACAACTATAGGAGATCTTATAGTCCTAGAAAGTAAGTGCAATGTGTAACACAGCAATCTGGGCAAGGTTTATGTTGACTTTTTAATTTTTTTACCTTTTGTTATACTTTGAATTGTATACATTGTATGCTTCGTTGAAACTAAAAATATTTTAGTGCTTTAAGTTTTATGGCTTACTTTAATTAGAAACTTTTTAAAACTCTGTAAATAGACATTTGTCACTGTTTGCTTTTTCTGATATACTTTTTAGCAGTAGACCGACTGGAAGACCACGGCGTAGCAGAAGCCATTCCGACAATGATAGGTAAATAACTTTGCTTTGAAAAAACTTTTATATATATATATATATATATACATATATTTTTTTTATTTCAATTCAGAGTGAACTTTTGCTCTAAAAATAACAAATTTGATTACTATAGAATCTAATTTTTAGTCTAATTGTATTTCTCCTCTGTTTTAAAAGATTCAAACACCGAAATCGATCTTTTTCAAGATCTAAATCCAATTCAAGATCACGGTCCAAGTCCCAGCCCAAGAAAGAAATGAAGGCTAAATCACGTTCTAGGTCTGCATCTCATACCAAAACTAGAGGCACCTCTAAAACAGATTCCAAAACACATTATAAGTCTGGCTCAAGATATGAAAAGGAATCAAGGAAAAAAGAACCACCTAGATCCAAATCTCAGTCAAGATCACAGTCTAGGTCTAGGTCAAAATCTAGGTCAAGGTCTTGGACTAGTCCTAAGTCCAGTGGCCACTGATAATATAAACCATGATATTTTTAGGCATGTATCATTCATTTACTCATAGTTTCGGTTTACTTAAATTATCAGGAATACAATGTTGCAATGATGCTTAAAAACACATGTCAGTTTTCCCTGTACCAGGCAATGGTAATAATTAAAATGATATGCTGTTGAGAAGCCACTCTTAAGAGTCCAGTTTGTTTAATGTTATGGGCAGCTACCAATTTGTGGTGTCTCTGTATATTTTTGTAAAGATTCTCATTTTTTTATGCTTGAAGTATTGGTGAAAAGATGTTGGTTGACCATAATTTGCAACATTGTCTTATTAAAAATAAACTTTCATATCCATATTTGGTAGAACTGTTAACATAGAAATGTAGCTTGCTAATTAATAAGATAGAATGATACAAAAGTGAAGTTATAGCCACAGTACAACACTGACTAATCAGACACATGTAGGTTCAGGGTGGACCTTTTTGTCATCTCAAGATGTCTAGGCCCGTGATAATAGCTAATTAATAACAGTGGAATAGTTGCGAGCCCCCACTGTCTTTGGGGAATGATGCCAACTGGTTTAGGTAGCATTGGCAGGGAGATTGAGTTTTTGACTGAAAAATAGAGCCTTCACTGTTACTTTGTGGATTCTTTGAAGATTTGGAACATATTAAACATCAGAAAAACTCACCTTAAAATTTGAGCTAGCCAAGGATGGCAGAAATAATCTTAAGGGGAAAGAATGCTCAAATGTAGTTACTCACCTTTAAGCAGCATATGTGATCACAGTATCGCTTAGTTTTCTTAACTGCTGTTAAAAAGCAGGTAAATTTGTTTCAAAGTAGGTTTTGTTGTGTGCATAGTGTAAAGGAATTGAATTTTGATACTTCATGCATTTGGTGTGTGCATTTGTATCAAAATTTGCCTACCTCCCTTTAAAGGAGGCTTGTTCTTCACACCTCAATTTATGTAATGTGAGGCAAGTTGAATGACAACACTCCCATTTTAGGTGATTCCATGGTGCCATGAAATTTAAAATAATTTTAAAGTCAGATTTCTGAGTTTTTGCTTGATTATCAATGTAGTATGACAGTACCTGACTAAAAAAAAAATTAGAAAATAATACCCTTAACCATTTATAATTTCTATTTCTCCTGAGAGATTGTTTTTGGGGGGTGGGGGGGAGGAACAATAAAAATTAACTTGACATGTCCAGTTTCATTTCAGAATAAAAGCTAGCATCTTCAAATTTTTTAGATTGCTTGCTTGCAGATATAAGTAAGAAAGTGGGGAAACTTCCTTTTAGAGGATTACTTTTTTGCAGTTTTGGTTTTAGTAATCTAGGCATTGCCTGTAAAGAACAAAAGATGGTTTTTAAATACTGTTTGTGGAATGTGTTTAAAGGATTGATTCTAGACCTTTGTATATTTGATAGTATTTCTAACTTTCGTTTCTTTACTGTTTTGCAGTTAATGTTCATGTTCTGCTATGCAATCATTTATATGCACGTTTCTTTAATTTTTTTAGATTTTCCTGGATGTATAGTTTAAACAACAAAAAGTCTATTTAAAACTGTAGCAGTAGTTTGCAGTTCTAGCAAAGAGGAGAGTTGTGGGGTTAAACTTTGTATTTTCTTTCTTATAGAAGCTTCTAAAAAGGTATTTTTATATGTTCTTTTTAACAAATATTGTGTACAACCTTTAAAACATCAATGTTTGGATCAAAACAAGACCCAGCTTATTTTCTGCTTGCTGTAAATTAAGCAAACATGCTATAATAAAAACAAAATGAAGGAAATAATGATTAACTGGAATTATTATAGTTTGGATATGATTCTAAAATAACAAAACAATCCTTTGTAGATGTAAGAATATTTTTTAAACAGTGTTGACTAGGCATAGCTAAATTTTACTTTAGATGTGATAGAACTTGTCAGAAAGGTACCTTTTATATAGTACTTTAAAAAACTTTAGGAATGTCAAGTTCATACTGTAATTGCTTATTAAGCCCTTTGAGTTAAATAACTCATGGGTTATTGGTAATGTTGAGCATATAAAAGTGAAATTTGGGTTAGTTAATTGTAAGTTTATATTTTCATTATTGGGTGAACCATTAATTTTGCTTTTCCCCATTCTAAACAGAAATACCTTGGGCCTTGTAAATGTTTATGGTATGATTTTAAAATACTTTTGCATTGAATGTTGAGTAGTTAATAATAAGCAATACTACTTGAGACATTGGTTTGGATGTTTTGTGTTTTCCAGCTATGTTGTAATTATAGCTGATAATTATTAAGCATTGATGATATGCCAGAAACTATTCTGAAAGCTTTTACGTTAACTCATTCACTCTTCATAAAATCCTGAGAAAGATGCTTTTATTTTGCCCATATAACAGATAAGGAAACTGAGACACAAAGACTGGAAGCCAGTATTTGAGCTTAGGATTGGTCCTTAGATGGCTTTTTTAATGGATTATTTGGGAACAGTAAGACTAAGGAGATAGCCATTGAAATTGTTCTTGGTTTCTTAGTAGGACATAGGCCTGATATTTTCGTTTTTATTTACTTGGGTCACTTGTTTTGAGATTCAGACTATTTTCTTTGTGACCCTTGTCTTCTAAGTGATATCTAACAACTTCAAAAAAGGACTATATTATAATGGAATCCATGTGATTAGGATCCTGTTGGTAATTGATGAGGATCCTTACACAGTGCTATAATTTTGGATTACATTGTTGAGTTCCACGGTTATTGAGTAACTACCGTGTCTGGCACTGTGCTGAAAATTAGAGTAGATCATAATTAAGACAGAAGTGAGGACTGACACTTCGTCTCTTTACTTAAATTCTCTCCTGTTTTTGTGGGGGAGGTTTGGTTTGGTTTTGGGTTGTCTTTTTTTTTTTTTTTAAGCCAAGTAAGCAAGAAGAAAAATTTGACAGATTATGCTTCAGTGAGAAAGGAAAGGTGCTACATAGAGTATGAGCTGTTAAGTTACAACCCAGGGGAAAGACCTGGGAACTATTGTACTATTCTCTTGAAAATTTGGCCCAGTAAGCTGCTACATCCAGTTCAACTAACAAAATCCTGTATACCACAGAGAAGAATAAAGAAAACCAAACTGACAAACATCCTTCTTTTATTTAAGACCAAACTGCAGCTGGAATACCCAGTACAGTTCTGCTTACTACACTTCAAGAAAGATCTGAGAAAGCGGAAAAAGAACCAAAGAAGGGCAGTTCAAGCGACCAAAGGGTGGGTGGAAGGTGCTGCAGTATGAATACTGTACGAATATTTTGACTCTGGTCTGAAAAGATAAAAGAATGTTATCGAAACTACATGGAATAATTGAAGTCCCTTCAAGTTTGAAAGTAAGCATTTTAGGACAATTAAAAGGAAATTCAACTTTGTACTTGTGGAAACTAACCCCTAAATCTGAATAGGTTTATATTGATTCATGGGTAACAAGTCCATAATAAATTACTGGAAACTAGGATGTCTGAGTATCGAGGAAGACAGCCATAGTCTTTTACAGTGCCTCTATTGGTCTGTTTCAAATTAAATTGGGTGAGAAAAGGTGTGGTCCAATTTAAATTTTCTCTTGGGTTTTCTCTTAAAAGTCAGTTGCATTTTCACCATTGGCAAATATTGCCTTTATTTATTCCAGTGCCAGTGTTGTCTGCTTAATGGTTTGCTTTGTTGGCATCTGAGTTTATTTACTTATATGCCACATGCTGTTTACATATTCCTTAAACATTAAATTCTAGTTATACTTGACATCCATCAAAGAGGGTCGGTCCATCTCTTCTCACCTCTTTTCTAGTCAGTGTATTCAGCAAACATTTACTGAGCCCTTAAAGTGGGCAAGAATTATACTGGGTAATGGGGAGAAAAATAGATAAAATGCAATTACTCAATAAATGTCTACTGAGCACAATCTAGTGAATCATTACACAGTGGCCTCATTGTCTTGTTTGAGGTGTGTTCATAACTTTTACAGCAGTCATGCTAATGTAATTATAAAGCCTTTAAAACTATCAAAGATACGTAATCTTGTGGTTATCTGCCATTTAAAAGTATCCAATATTTGTTTGCATCCCATTAATACAAGATAATCAAAATGATGTTTTAATCTGTAATAATCTGATTTGTTGTGCAGTGACTGTAATATACTAGAGTTATATTAAATTGTTAACTCTGCCTCCTCCAAAACTTTAGGAAATAATCCTTTAAATAAGTATTTAATTTTGCGTTAGATATAAAGGAGACACTGGGTGCTATAATTAGATTATTTTGAGGCAGACAGCTGTTACCCCAACTGATTTAGTATGTTCTGTAATTGAGAAAATGTTCACCAAATTATACTTTTTAGTGATTGACATGTACATTTTATAGGGGACATGTTCTGTGTATAGTGAATAAATAATTTTTTATAGTATCACAAGATGTTTTGATTCCTTAGTTCCTTCTTAGGATATGAAGCTTGTCTACCTATATATTGAGTCCGTCATTCACATAACTTGATTTTTGTCATTTTTTTCCACTTAGTAAAATTTTCCATGTAAAGTTTCATCTAAAACTATGAAAGTGTTTAATTAAGCCTTTATAAAGACTTTGAAAGTAGAGCAGAAAACACATAAAGGGGAAATGAAATGGTACAGGTACTTTTACCCGTTTATTTAAAAAATGTTTTGTTTTTTTTTTTTTTTTACGTGTCTCCAAGTTCACACAGTAAATAAAGTGGAAGATGCTATATTAGAGTCCATAGTTTTTCATTTGGTCCATCTCTTCCCCTTTTTAATGGAAATTTCATAAATAAAATATGCAATCTAAAGTTCACTGAGGGGAGATTTGATAGATTTCTAAAAATGACACTGGGAAGTATTTTGAGAAAGAGGTTTGTTAACGGTAACTGAAACCTCACACTTGTCATTTTTCCAGCCTATGTTCCAAACATTAGTCTCACCATGCTGTGTTTTGAGCGTATTCCTGTGAAATGTTTTTGCAGGGTAGCGTGACTTTGAGACAACACACTGATAGTTCAGGAAAGTTTTTAGAAGCCCCAGGAATAAACTTTTCATTGATAAATTTGAAACCTATTTGTCTTCAGTTATTGACCTCTATTAAGACAATAGCCATTTCCTGTGGGAAAGGTTCCTTCTCTTGGGTTTTTTCCCTCTGGTTTCCCCTCACCCCACAATGTTGGTTATGTTTATTGCATTTCCTATGTCTTCAAAACAGCTTCACCTTTTAAAGATGGGGTTCTTTTTATTTCCAATAAAAAGCAGGACATGTGAAGTCCATTTCGTTGATAATTAACAGGAGTTTGTAAAGAAAAGGCCTTTGTGTTTTGTGGCTCACCTTTCTCAGTGCTGGAGAGTAAAGTAAAAAACTAATTAATCTAGGGCTCCCCCCAAATCTTATTATTGAAGATGCAGCACTACCTTACAGAATTGTGACTTGGTAGGCTTCCTTATCTGTCTAAGAGGCTTTAGAGATGTACCCTGCCCCTCTTGTTTTACAACGTAATTGCCAATGAGAATGCAATTAAAGGTAACACTGGAAAACTTTCCAAAACCTTTGGCTTTTTTCCACTTTGTGCTTGCTTTTGGGAAGAACAGAATGTACTAGAATTTAAGATTAATTCCATCATACTACTGTATACTGCCAGCAAAAATGTGACAAACTTAAATACTGATTGAAGTTTATTGTGGCTGACTGGAGCCCTTAGAGGATAGGTACTCACACACTTGGTTCTCACAAGTACAATGAGTTGGGAAATTCCTGTCACCATACTTTTCTGTAGGCTGACCATAATTTTTCTAGTACCTTTCTAGGGAAAAAGATGGTGATGTGATCGTTAACCTTTTATTTAGCTTGTCCATAGCTATTCACCAAAACTCACATGTTTTATATGTTGTATTTAAGTTTTGGTCAAAAACTGACCTCTTGCTTAGAACATTTATAGTATTCTAGTTCCATTCTTGGGGGTTTCAGTTACCCTTGATCAATATCAGTTACCCATGATCAATATGTCTGAAAATATTTTGAAGCCACATAGCATCTTGTTAGGCAATTGTTCCACTTTATTGTTAATATCTTTCTTTGCCTAACAAACTTGGCATCTATGTATGGGGAAAAAACAATACATAGTTTGCTTTTTTGCTGGCTTCCGGGTACCCTGCACTAAGCCACCATACCTGGTGAAACTAGGACAGTATAGAACTTGGCACTCTTTTGAATAGAAACCATGTTGGGAATACAACAGGAAAAACTGAGACCCAAGTGTTGTTTCCTCTAGAGCAGTTATAGTCGTGTATAGGTTCCTATTTATGTGGTTCCAATGGACTACACCATCTTAGTTTGTAATTACTATCACACTGTCAAAATCATCTGCCATGTTTCTTAAAACACCCTGCATTTGACACAGGGCTACTAGAAAGCAATTAGGTTCCTGGATTTCCTTAAAAGGCCCCCTTGTGAAAATAATCAAGGACCCTTGTCAGTTTGAGCAATTCTTTTGTGATAAGTCATCTTACAATGACTTTTTTTTAAAGAGAGAGCCATAATTAAATTTTCCTTACTTGACATGAAATGAAGCTTTATAAAGTTTCCAAAGTGTTCTGTAGTCTTAATGTTAGCCCTGCGGGAAAGGAATAGTTACGAGCAGTTGATCATAAAGCAGTTTTAAGCCAGATGTCTAAAAGCCAACAGTCCTATCATGTTTCGGTTGGGTTAATTCTGTGTATGGTAAGATTAGGCAGTTATCCTTTTATAAAACAAAGATAATCCAAAGAAAAAGCAGTTTTAATTTCATGCTTACATTCATAGTGTATGTTAAGTACAAGGATGTCTTTAGGATCTCACTGTCTGACTTGGGCAGTGTTATGTCTTCTGAATCTATTTGGTGAACTACCAAGTTTAGCATTGTGCTTAAAAATACCAAGCAGCCAAATGAGAAAATAGGTTCTGAAATTTTTTTAATTCATCCCCACTCATACCCACTTTTATTTTTTTAAACTATTGGGTTAACTGTTACACAACTTAACATTTTAATTTTACCTACTCTAAAGAGAAATGCTATCAAGGTATTCGGTAAGAAATTACATCTTTTGCACAGTGGTCCCCTGGGTTGTGCTCATGACAAAAATGTTTATACACACTGGCATCATCACTACTCACATGTTACAAAAACTAGTGTAAGCCAAAATGCATCTTAGAAGTTGGAGGGACCCTTTAATAATTCATCTTTGGGTTTAAAAATTAAAAGTCCCATACTGCATTTCACATTTCTTAAAAAATAGGAAGTGTTTTAACTTCTTAAAATCTTTTGTTACATAAAGCTTCTTATGCTAGGATTTACTTTGAAATATAGTTTACAATCTGATCAATTATACATACACTGGCACTTGAGCACAAAGTCAAACTTAAATTATTCTGGACCTCTAAAATTAGGCCATAGTACTGAAAAAATTAATGGTCTTACATTCAGCAAATTCATACTAAAATACTCTGGGATAAATGCCAACAAAATTGTATACATATGCTACAAGTTAACTACATTAATATTTACATGGCTCTTTCCTAGGTACTTTAAGTTTCACATTAAAACTCACCACTTTGAGCAAGCCTTGCAGGGAGGATTTGAGACCAGATCATGGTCAGAATAGCTTGTGCAGTGCTAAATACAAAAATGTATTTTGTAAGCTACTCAAGTGACCACCAAATACTTTTTCTATTTAAAAAGGTTTGACACATTTGTTGGCAGGTACCTACCCACTGCACATAAGAAACAAGCTTTTACTGTGTAACTCTAGAGTCCCTGGTGACCTTTCCACATTCACCACCATGAAGTTTACTAAAACTGTTCTCTAGAAAAGTTCACATTTTCTTTTGTCAGTGCATCAGGTTACTGTCATATTACTGGTTTAGATGTCTCTAAGATAGACATTAAACTTTAGAATACTCAACTAATTTTCAGGTATTTTAGGTGCTTCTAGCCAGGTTCACTAACATTCAACAAATAAATCTAATTTATGAATGATATATTAGTATTTTCCCAAGAATAGAAAAAAATATCCTTTTCTTTCCTGAAATCTAAACTTGAATGGTTTCAGAACTACCCAACTTAGACTATACTCATTGTCAGAAACAGTAATTTAGTTGTTTTCAGTTGCACTCAGTGCATATAACAGTGAGATTAAGCCTAATTATATTTTCTTCATTAGTTTTATAGGTTAATTCCCTAGTGAATTTGTTTCAGAACAATTGATAACTACCTTGTAAATATAACTAAAGTTTAACATTAGTACATTTATTTTATACCTGTACTTTAAGTAAGGTTTTAAGTTGGAATGTCATTATCTCCTTATCAGAAGGATTAAAGGAAACAGGAACCCAGTGGCTTGGTGGCTTAGGCAGGACACTTGGTGACGGTGGCTCACTAAATTTGGCTCCAGCGTAGTTCTGGTGATTAGCTTGAGACTTAAAAAGTGAGGTGGGACTTGGTAAGCTAGAGTTCCAATTTTGATTATTTGTCAAGTTTTTGTTCTTCCCCCCATTCTGCATGGCCTGCCATGCAGCTGCTGATGAATTATAAGTATGTCCTCTCTCTTTTTTCTTATGAACAATCTTCATCTGGGAGTTCTGGTCCTTGGTCTTCTGTCTATTAAGCTGTTGTTGATTCTTACTAACATTTCTAGATTGTGGGGCTGGAATGTTATACCTCTCTCCACCACCCATCTTCAGCTTCTTTGTCACCTGTAAGTGAATGGAAATAAAATACTGAGTAAAGTTCCATAAGAACTTAAAAATGTTAACAAAGCTCCTACAGTCCCATTTGTAATTCCAGAAATCTTAGATAACCCCAAAATGTATTACTCAGCGACTTTAAATTTCATTAGTCACACTTCATTATTTGCACATCCTTTATTACCTTCCTAAGAAAAATGAGCTTATCACAGAAATACTCCTCTAAAGACAACTGGTTCAGGATAAGTGTCATTAAAAGGTTCGCCCCACTACAATGTGAATTTTTTTATACCTTTCAGTCTGCTTTTCAGATTGCAGGATTTCCACGACCTGGCCTCTTCCTTGCTGCCAGGCCCAGGATAATAGATGCTGTTTTCTGACAGATCCTTTCCTTTGTCTCAATACATAAGTTTTCATGGGCCGATCTGCTGAGTTCAGCCTAGGCGCCGAGGCCAACATCTGAGTCTCCTCAGCGCACCAAGTTGGAGAGAAGTCCTAGCTAGGAAAGTAAAGATGATTTCATTATTTCAATTCAAAAGCAGGTGAAAACGTTATTTACACTACAGTTCACCACGGAAGTAACACGTTAACTTTGAAGAATGACTACTTCCTGAACGAAAAGGGAGAAACGGGATGTCTGCGAAGATGGCTTTCTCTGGTACTGTGACTCTCACAAAGTCTCAGGTTTGAGCTCCTCAGGGGCTCCCTTGAGGAATTTGGGGGTTGGTGTCTGCACTTACCGCACCAAGTTACTAACTTTGCGGGGGTCCTTTCTGAGTCTCTCACGGATCTGGTAACCAAAACGTTGCACCAAACTTGGGGAGCCTTAGGTGCTACAGCCGTGCTACTAAGCAACTGGCTGATTTCCCAAAACAATCCAGTGTGCGGCCCCACTAGCATTGTCCCACCTCCACACCACGTACCCGTTTTCACAAAGCGCCTCTGCCACACCACTACGTCATGCGACGTGTTTTCTCAGTTACGGACCTCGATTCCTTCCCGTTTTAAGTTTCCACGAGCCACAACCACCTCGGCGAGCCTACTTACGTGCAAGTGCCTCCCTACGGGGAGCACTAGACACCGAGTTCCACTTGCTATTCCAAAACAAGTTACCAAACAACGCGCCCCTTCGAAAAACAGGGGCCTTCCGAGCGACTTCTATAACCCTAAATAGCGAGTCCCCGTGAGTTACTCACACGCGCGCCAGGGAAACCGGACTTTCCCGAGCGGCTCCATCCGGCTCAGCCGGGGAGCCGCCGGCGCCGCGCCCGGCTTCCCGAGCTCTCCTCCAGCCCCAACAATGGGGAGCGCGACCGCCAACATGGCCGCGCCCGCGGCGCCGCCGTCACTCACCGACTTCAAGCTCAGGACTACGGCGGCGGCGGCCTCTGCTCGGCGTCGAAGCCCCCCTCCCTTTAAAGGGAGAGACGAGGTACGGAACGAACAAAGCCCACGAGCACGCAGAAGCTAGCTGCTGATGGCCTCCACGTCCCCGACCCGACCTCCTCCTCCTGCCTCTACAGACAAAATGGAGGCGGTGGTGAGCGCAGAAGCGGGGCGGGGAGGCGCAGCGGCCAATCAAAACACGCCGACGCGGGGCCGGGCCAATGAGGCGCTGGCTGCCGCCTGTTGCTGGGGCCGGCCGGCCGAGCCGGGAGGCGGTGGCAGCGGTGGTTTGAAATCCGGAGAGGAGCATGTCGGGAACAACTGCGCGGCCCCGGCGGCCGCCTCTCTTGCTCCCCGCCGGGTCCCCGCTGACCCTTCTCGGAGGCGCCGGCCCTGCGGCCCCCGGCACGCGGCAGCTTCTTTCCTCGGCGCCGGGCGGCCTTGGCGAGCCCCCGCGGCAACTCGCGGGGGCCGCGATCCCTGGAGCCGAGAAAGGGAGGCGTCCGCCCCCCGCCGGCAGCAGCTCCCCCTGCGCTGGGAGCCCGGCGGCTTCCGCGGTGGGGCTCTGCTGGCCGCGGCGTTTGTTGCGGGCTCGCGTTCCGTGAGCCCTGTGAGCAGTTTCTTGCAGAAGGGAGATAGCAGAGTCGCTCGCGAGGCCGGGTCCCGGCCCACCTAGCCGCCCACCCCGGTTCTGCTTGGTCGCGGAACTGCGCTGCTCGCAGAGCTGCGGCCCCGCGGGTCTCCCGACACCCCGATTCCGAATGCGGCTCCGCGGCGCGCGCGATCCCAGCGCCCTGCTGACCAGGCCGATCGCGTCCCGTGTCCCCTCTGGTCCTCGCCGTCAAGGGCAGCCCTTTATCACGCTGCGGTGGCTTACTGGTGACAGTACCCACTCTGCCGGCAAACCGGGCTTTATGCTTCTGAGCCCGCGACTCTCACAATTCTAAGTGCGCCAGAAAAGTTTGTACAAAGAACGGGGTCTCCCTTCGTCCCCGCTCGGCCCAATTGGTAAGCGGAAGGGGGGAGAAAAGGTACCATTCCTTTGGTCATGCCAGTGAGGATCAAGGAAGAGCAGAGGGAAAACTTTGGATGGAGCAAATGGATAAGCAGCCCAGAGGTTTTAGAAGGGAACACCACTTTCTGTGAACTTAGGGGTCACGGGACTCACGGATACTAGTTTTTGTAAGTTCTGCCTAGTTCACTTTCTAATCTTCGATTTTTCGTTAACATCATCTCCCTCCCCTGTTCCCTTCTAGCCATAGACTGTGCTATTTTGTAATCTTGGTACTGTGTTTTAAAAGAGTTTGTTCATCAAATTAATTTAGTAAAATGCACAAAAGAGATTTTCAGCGCTAATGGAAACTTTTCGGCGCTAATCATACAAGCGTCAGATCCCATATGCTGGTAAGCAACTGCTAAGTAACCAACTGTACGTGTAATCGAGTTCCTAAAAATTCAAGGAGCTGCCAGGCTGTATTTAATAGGATCAAGACTGTGACTTCTGAAAAGACTGTTACAATGTAAACTGTAATATAATGGCTTGTAAAGTGGAAATTTCTCCGAATGCTTTCTTCTGTGTCTCTTTTACCACTATCCCAGTGTCTTTCAAATTCATCCCTCCTGGGCTCCCTCCTCCTCCTTTCTTTTTTCTCTGCCCTCCACAGAATCCGATTGTAACATTTTTCAATTTGTTTAAGTAACTTTAATTTACAACACTGTATATGGGGTTCACGTTTTGTTACTTTTGTTAAAAAAACAACACTTAAATGGCCCCAGATTGTATTATACAATTCAATTGCCCTCGTGAAATTTATCTGTATAAACACAGATGTAACTTACTCCACCTTCCTTCCCCCCTGTAGCCAGAAATTGCTGGGTCTGGGCTGCCTGTCCTGGCAGTCAGTTGAACAGAGACAGAAATTGAATCTATAACCCGCACTTTATTTTTTTTTAAGATTTATTTATTTATGCATACAGAATGGAGTACAGGCCAGATGTGCGGGAGGTGAGAGAATTCACCAGAGTGGGGAAAACAGGTAGATGGACTAAAATACACTGCTGAGGGGAGCAGCGGGCAGGTGAGGAGAGGTCTACTGGGACAGACAGGTGGGTGATCCAGCTCCTGCTGCCGCAGCTTCATAGTGCTGTGCTTTAACCCATGGCGCCACCAGGGAGGGCCCTCTAACCTGCACTCTATGCTGCCCTTCAGGAAGTCAGCCATCTGAGAAAACAGTGCTATTTCACCTTAACAGTCCTTACTATCATCTCATCTCACGCTCTCCTTTTTCTGATGGACTAAACAAAGACAGTCCACAAAAGGCATCTTGGTTGGTGTTTCTTTATCATGACCCCAGAGTCTGTTGTGATCTCCCTGCTCATCTTGACAGGTGCACCCTGTTTTCCTGGGCCTAAGAAGACATCTTTAATCTCCTGATGGTGTAAATGTCCAACACTTCTGTAGACCTCATGGGGCAGAACTCTCAGTTCAAAACAAGTGTTTCAGTGCAAAAAGAAACATTAATCTCATGGTCTTTGCATGTGGCAATTGTTCTACTAGGTATGGTTCCATTCCCTTCCTCCCTAACCCCATGACCTCCACCCCTAATTGTTTTGCTTACATAATTTCATTTAGTTTTGCAAATTTGGGTGTAGATGCTATTTTGTTTTGTTTTTAAAGACTTACTTCCAATACAAGAGCTGCACGGGGGTCTAAGGGGTGACAGGAGTCACCAGAGACAGAGTGGGGAACAGGACAGGCAGATTGACTGAAATACACTGCTGAGGGGAGCAGCGAGAGGGTCAGGAGAGGTCTGCCGCGCCATGTGGGTCAGCTCCCTGGCTAAGAATGGAACTTGCTTCATAGTGCTGTACTTTAACCCATGGCAACACCAGGGAGAACTCAGTAGGTGCTCTTTTGATAGCAGTTATGCAGATGAAAAAACTGAAGACTCGTGAACTAACACCCCAGAATCCAGGCTCTGTGCTCCTGGCCACATTGTATCTGAGTCACCTCCGTGTCCTCCTCAGGGCCTGGAGGCTACTCTGCCCAGAGCAGACACTGACTGTTGGCTGGACTATCAGGGCTGCTTGAGCAGTATAAAGCTTGCTGTCTGTCACCCTGCTGTCTGGCAGAATCAGGCTGCCCTCAAGAGAGTGCTGTTAAAGCCATGACCATGTCCGGGACATCCAGCTTTCAGTACAGCTCTAGCATCATCCTTCATTAATATTTACCAAGTGCCCAGAACAGCTCGGAACTGGAAAACGAAAGCATACCCTCTCAAGACATCTGATACAGCCGGTCCCTGCTGCTTTTTAAACTCAGCTCCACCCGTACAATCCAATTAGTGGTTCTTGAAGGAAAATATTGATGCAAACAGTTTGCAGGATGTAAACCAGCCACCAGTGCAGCAACTGCATAATAAATATGAATGTTCAATACCAAACATTTATTTAACAAAGATTTGGCTGGTGCAGGTACACTGCCAACCTCTGGAGAGGCAACAGTGAAGGGGGCTCTATCCAGCCCTACAGGGACTCAGCTATCCCCTTACTACTTATCTGAGGAGGAATGTGGTGTCTGGGAACACTCATTTCCTCAGTTCTTCTGAGAATCAGTGACAGGCAGTGACAATTATAAACACAGTAATCAGCCTACAGATGCAGCTAAGGAGGTGTGGATTGGGGGCATTGTACCAGGATCCTGGGGGGATGGGAGGAGGAGGACGGTGAAATTCTTTCTCAGGAGAGTGTTTGAATTATGCATCTGTGGGAGCCCAAATCAACAAACCTATCACATAAACCTACCTGGTCTGTAAAGTGAGAAGTGACCCAAAAAAATCTTTCTGAAAGTCCAGCTTTGAAAGACTGGCAAAGTTGCAGGCCGATACTTTTTTGTACTTTAGGTCCCATGAGTGTGAACGCACAAGGAAGGTTTACAGGTCTCTGGTAGGACCGGCTGGCAGGTTTGGTTATTTTTCTTCCTCAAACTCACCTCTGAACTCAGAGTACAACTTGGAATGTTTGCAGTTTGTCAGCTGATGGCTGGAGTGAGGTGGAAGCCCCCCACTTCCCCCCTCCCAGGGGTTTTGATCTGTCTCAGGCCTCTGACCTTACTGCCCAGCTGTTCTCCAAACACACACCCCTCACATACCAGGGATTTGTCTCCTGGAGAAACAGCTGCTGTGTTCCTCGGTTGCTCACACATTCCTAGGCAGTTAGGCAGTTGCAAATCTGTTCTTAGCCATGACAGCCAGTTCAGAGCAGTTACTAAATGGGGTGTGGAAGTTGATGCTCCACCCGCTGTGACTCCCACTCAAGAGCTTTCAACCCACAGGACCTTAAAAGGATTCTGATGCCTGGAGCCCCTCCCCAGAATCACAAGCTTTGAGGATGGGTTCTCCGGTGCTCCCTTTCTAGCTGAAGAGTGGCACCCACTGCACTCCAAAACAGGCCACTTGAAATAAGATTCTTTTGAGGTAAGGCATTTAAAAAATAGCAGGTATAAGATGGACTATTTGATTGCCACCTCTGCTGTTCTTCCTGAAAACAGGAGAGAAGTTTCCCATGTGAAAGACCTCCTCCTGCATCAGGTGGAAAATAACACTCCTTATCAACTGGGGAGTGAAAGCAGAATTCTGTACAGATTCTGCATTCAGAACTCATGCTAGTCTGTTTAAGCTGTCCATTGTTTGGCCCCTCCAGAATCAGGTCCCCATCCTTCAGACCAGAAGCTGTGTGAACAGAGTTGGGCGACAACCTTGATCAGAATGGCCAAAACAGGCCCAGACTGGCAACTGGGTTGATATTAAGAGGAAATCCGGAGCACTCACTGAACAGAAGGCAGTGGAGTATGGGAGCCATCTGTTTACATGTGAGACCGTCGCAATACCTGTCCCCAGCTGTTCACACCCAGGGCATAAAGAAGAAACATGATCATCAGCTCAAAAATAATGGAAAGCTCCAAAGAGAAGCCAGTGAGATCTGGAATCACTCCAGTTCCTACACTGCTCGCACAGTTTGATAATCTCTGGGTCCCCGTAGACCATTTGTGTTGCATTGCATTATAGCACCGGCCATTTTTACCATATTCAATGCACCCTACCAGAGTACTTTCAAATTCATTGCCTCACACACCCCTAT